AGTGAGGCCCATACTAACCTCCCTATAGTGCATAAATATACCTAGTTCGATGAATGTTATTGTAGCCATCTGGCCCAGTGGCTACAATAAGCCTGGAGTGTTAGGACTCACCCGTTCTGTGGATTGTTTGCAACCGTGTTATTACGATTTCGTGAGTCATGTTGTTTATAACTATTAGGCGACCCATTATGCTCCACATGCTGTGGGAACACAGTTCTTGTAGTCTGCGTAGCTTCTCGGTTTTTGTTGTATGTTGGCAGTGGTAGTCTGGCTGAGTATACACTGCCGGCCGTTTGAGCAACACGTAATAAGGCCTGAAAGCATGGAAGTTCATCGGCGCTTTCCCTAAAGTAAGAGTAAACAGAAAGTGAGAAAGATCTGCATGTGGTGAACTGTTGTGAAGTGAACCTGGCCACCACTATCACAGGGTAAATCCTCGAGAAGTTGTGTTGCATGCCAAGACTATTATTAGCCTTGAGCTGAGAAAAACAAGTAGCCTATATATTGTTTTGCAGTGTCGGCGTCATCCAGGACTGCAGGCGTCATCCAGGACTGCAGGCGTCATCCAGGACTGCAGGCGTCATCCAGGACTGCAGGCGTCATCCAGGACTGCAGGCGTCATCCAGGACTGCAGGCGTCATCCAGGACTGCAGGCGTCATCCAGGACTGCAGGCGTCATCCAGGACTGCAGGCGTCATCCAAGACTGCAGGCTAAAGACACAAAATATCCTATAAAACATTCCTCCAAACATTCATAGTGTTCCCATTAGTGGATGGTGCCAAGAAATATTCCCCAGGTGCTTGCTAGAAACATCAACGTAACCACCATGAATGCATCACCCATCAAAGACCTCACTACGCAGCAAAGTCTCATACCTCTTACTGCCACAGCAGACTTAAGTTTGTATCATCCCTTGAGGACATTGTCCCAAGAAATATATAGGGTAAACAGGCAGAAGTCTATTCGCCTGGGTGAACATGGAAGCACCTGCAAGAGGGTCGACTTACACCTGTGTCTTCCACAGGAACATTTGTTGAACTGAAATGAGGCACGACTCATCCTCACTGATGTTAGACGCCGACGGTGCCTGGAAGCCTCATTAATCGTCCATAATACTGGAAGCTACACAATTTCAACAACACTCTCATATATGATACTCAACTAGGCTAAACCCAGCCAACCTCACAACACAGGAAACACGGGACCTCACAGCCTACCTCACAACACAGGAAACACGGGACCTCACAGCCTACCTCACAACACAGGAAACACGGGACCTCACAGCCTACCTCACAACACAGGAAACACGGGACCGGACCTCACAGCCTACCTCACAACACAGGAAACAAGGGACCTCACCAAACCTACCTCACAACACAGGAAACACGGGACCTCACAGCCTACCCCACAACACAGGGAAACACGAGACCTCAAGGCTACCTCACAACACAGGAAACACGGGAAACCCCACAGGCTACCTCACAACAAAAGGAAACACGGGACCCCACAGGCTACCTCACAAAACAGGGAAAAACGGGACTTCACAGCCTACCTCACAACACAGGAAACACGAGACCTCACAGCCTACCTCACAACACAGGAAACACGGGACCTCACAGCCTACCTCACAACACAGGAAACACGGGACCTCACAGGCTACCTCACAACACAGGAAACACGGGACCTCACAGCCTACCTCACAACACAGGAAACACGGGACCTCACAGCCTACCTCACAACACAGGAAACACGGGACCTCACAGGCTACCTCACAACACAGGAAACACGGGACCTCACAGGCTACCTCACAACACAGGAAACACGGGACCTCACAGCCTACCTCACAACACAGGAAACACGGGACCTCACAGGCTACCTCACAACACAGGAAACACGGGACCTCACAGCCTACCTCACAACACAGGAAACACGGGACCTCACGGCTACCCCCACAAAAACAGGAAACAAGGGACTCACAGCCTTTCCTCACAACACAGGAAACACGGGACCTCACAGCCTACCTCAAAAAACACAGGAAACACGGGACCTCACAGGCTACCTCACAACACAGGAAACGGGACACGGACCTCACAACACAGGAAACCACGGACCTCCAGGCTACCCCACAACACAGGAAACACGGGACCTCACGCACCTCAAACCAGGAAACACGGGACCTCACAGCTACCTCCAACACAGAAACACGGGACCCCCACAGGCTACCTCACAACACAGGAAACACGGACCCCCAACCTACCTCACAACACGGAAACACGGGACCTAACAGGCTAACCTCAAACACAGGGGAAAAACGGGACCTCACAAGCTACCTCACAACACAGGAAACCCCGGGACCTCACAGGCTACCCCACAACACAGGAAACACGGGACCTTCACCCGCCTACCTCACAACACAGGAAACCGGGGTCCAGCTACCTCCAACACAGGAACAGGACCTCACAGCTACCTCACAACCAGGAAACACGGGACCCCACAGCTTACCCCACAACACAGGAACACGGGACCTCACAGGCACCTCACAAACACGGAAACCGGGAACCTCACAGCCTACCTCCACAACACAGGAAACACGGGACCTCACAGGGTACCTCACAACACAGGAAACACGGGACCCACAGGGTATCTCACAACACAAGAAACCGGGACCTCAGCTACCTCACAACACAGGAAACCCCGGGACCTCACAGGCTACCTCACACACAGGAAACACGGGACCTCACAGGCTACCTCACAGGCTACCTCATCACAGGAAACACGGGAAACCCCACAGCTTTCCTCACAACACAGAAACACGGGACCTCACAGCCCACCCCACAACACAGGAACACGGGACCTCACAGGCTACCTCACAACACAGGAAACACGGGACCTCACAGGCCTACCTCACAACACAGAAACAAGGGAAATCACAGCCTACCTCACAACACAGGAAACACGGGACCTCACAGGCTACCTCACAACACAGGAAACACGGGACCTCACAGCCTACCTCACAACACAGGAAACACGGGACCTCACAGCCTACCTCACAACACAGGAAACACGGGACCTCACAGCCTACCTCACAACACAGGAAACACGGACCTCACAGCCTACCTCACAACACAGGAAAAACGGACCCCCTCACAGCCTACCCCACAACACAGGAAACAGGGACCTCACAGCCTTTCCTCACAACACAGGAAACACGGGACCTCACAGCCTACCTCACAACACAGGAAACACGGGACCTCACAGGCTACATGACGCCGTCTCAAAACCTCACTCGTATTTTTATCAGGTCACTATCTCTCATACCTCACTTTCGAGTTTCTTAACCTTCGTAAATTAGAAGTGATGAAGGTCTCAGGACAGAAATATTTGCAAATAAACATGTCCTAGTGTTTGCTCACGTGTCTAATTTAATTTTTCGTATCAGTTACCAAGCTTAATATATAATATAATATCTAAATAATAATAATTTTAATAATAATAATAAAATAATTAATAATAAAAATAATAATATAAGGTTAAGTAAAACACGGTTTATTCTGCATTGTTTTATTGTTTGCCTGTGTCTTCTTTTTTGTTTTTTTTTACGGTAAACTCTTTGTAATTACGCTTATTGTTTCCCCTTGGGTAAGAGGAAATGGGGGGAGGAGGCCGAGGGAGGGGGGGAGGGGGGGTTGGGCGAACTTGGCGAACCAAGTTTCGCTAGTTCCGTTGTGACGGTCGTGGTCAGGTCAGCTAGACAGGTCAAGGTCTGGGTCAGGTCGAGAGAGGTCAAGTCCTGGGTCAGGTCAGGTAGAGAGACAGGTCAAGTCCTGGGTCAGGTAAAATATTAGGTCAGGTCGAGTCCATTTCTTTTGGGACGGAATATTAAAAGTCACTAGGACTAGGTTATACTCAACTAGGCTACGTAATATTCAATATGATTACATCATCATCAATAATGTTAGGTTATACTAGGGTAAGATCGTATTTAGTTACACTGGACCATATTAAAGTATGTTACCTCTTATTAAAATGGACAACATCATATTAAACTACGAAAAAAAATTTTATAAATAAGGTTTAGGGTATAAACTGTCATAGCCAATTAGAATATATTAGCCGTATTTTGTAAAATATAATCACACTGAGACTGGTTTGTCTGGTCAAGAAGGTTGTAAAAGAAGGGCATTTGTAGTCTTTGAAGCCCGATGCGAAAAGTTCACATTTTTTTGTTTGTGAATCAGATTATATCTTTTAAAAATGAAAGGTATTTTGAGATTAAAGTGTAGCCTAGGAATCAGGTCATTTCATGAAGCAGGTCATTATGTTAACCAGGTCACTGATTGTTTTAAATTTTATCTTCAGAGATCAATCCAATTCCGATACAATATCATTACAATTTAGATGTTTTTTTGCTATTGTTGTTGCAAACTGCAATATAATTACGTGTAATTAAACATCAAAATCATTGTGGGAAAGGCATTGTGTATGTCCAGAGATTATTAAGGGAAACATCTAGCCCCTCGTGATTCTTAGTCGTAATATTATGATTGAAAGAATTAAGTCGCTTAATAGGTAAGATGTCAGGAAACAGGACAAGTGTTCCTGAGCGGGTCTTACCATTTGATGACCCAACTGGAGCTTTTGGTCATCTTCGACGGGCTTCCACTGGGTTACCCTCTACTCTTAAAAAAAAATAGTATAGTATTCACAAATCATTATACACTCTGGGCGAAAGTCCTAATTTAAAAAGTCCGAACTACACACAGCGCCTTTTGACCAGTCTTGTTGAATATCTACCATTTACTCCACAAAGATCGTTATAAAAATTCTAACTCCCCACGGGCCATTGGTTTCATGAATTGGCACATAGTTTTGGGCACGTAATGCCTTTGGGCCCCCTGTTTTTTGTCTCTGTCACAACAGGGCTTCAAGTCTACCCCCACAGGTTACTTTAGTTACCTTCAAATAAAATTAATTTCTGCTGTTCATCCACTGTATACACGATAGTTTAACACACTTAGCTACTACTGCTAGTATTGTCATGGAGACAGCGGGATGGCCGGAAAGTGAACCATTATGACGGGAAAGTGAACCATTATGACGGGAAAGTGAACCATTTAGGCAGGAAAGTGAACCATTATGGCGGGAAAGTGAACCATTTTGGCGGGAAAGTGAACTTTTATGGCGGGAAAGTGAACCATTTTTGGCGGGAAAGTGAATAATTTTGACGGGAAAATGAACCATTATGGCGGGAAAGTGAACCATTATGGCGGGAAAGTGAACCATTATGGCGGGAAAGTGAACCATTTTGGCGGGAAAGTGAACCATTATGGCGGGAAAGTGAACCATTTTGGCGGGAAAGTGAACCATTTAGGCAGGAAAGTGAACCATTATGGCGGGAAAGTGAACCATTTTGGCGGGAAAGTGAACTTTTATGGCGGGAAAGTGAACCATTTTTGGCGGGAAAGTGAATAATTTTGACGGGTAAATGAACCATTATGGCGGGAAAGTGAACCATTATGCGGGAAAGTGAACCATTTTGGCGGGAAAGTGAACAATTTTGGCGGGAAAGTGAACCATTTTGGCGGGAAAGCGAACTTTTATGGCGGGAAAGTGAACCATTTTGGCGGGAAAGTGAACCATTTAGGCAGGAAAGTGAACCATTTAGGCAGGAAAGTGAGCCATTATGGAGGGGAAGTGAACCATTTTGGGTGAAAGTGAACCATTTACACAGGAAAGTGAACCATTACGACGGGAAAGTGAGCCATTTAGGCAGGAAAGTGAACCATTATGGCGGGATAGTGAACCATTAAGGAGGGAAAGTGAACCACTTAGGCAGGAAAGTGAACCATTATGGTGGGACAGTGAACCACTATGGTGGGAAGTGAACCTTTGTGATGGGAAGTGAACCATTATGGCGGGAAAGTGAACCATGTAGGAAGATAAGTGGACTATTATAGCGGGATAGTGAACCATTATGGTGGGTAAGTGAACCAATTATGGCGGGAAAGTGAACCATTTTGGCGGGAAAGTGAACCAATTATGGCGGGAAAGTGAACCATTTTGGCGGGAAAGTGAACCAATTATGGCGGGAAAGTGAACCATTTTGGCGGAAAAAAGAAAAGCGAATAAATTTGCCACGAAAGCGAACCATTTTGTTGTTGTCGTTGTTGCAACATAACGTGAACTGCTGAAGTGTTGCAACATAACGTGAACTGAAGTGTTGCAACATAACGTGAACTGCTGAAGTGTTGCAACATAACGTGAACTGCTCAAGTGTTGCAACATAACGTGAACTGCTGAAGTGTTGCAACATAACGTGAACTGCTGAAGTGTTGCAACAAGAGAGAACTAATATTGTTGCAGTCATCAGGTGGTGTTGTAGTCTGGGGAGGCACTGTAGCTGTAGTGGTAAACACTGTCGAGGGGGCAGTAATAGCCTAATGAGCCTAGCAGAGCCTAGTTACCTTAGATTTAGATAGACATTGCTGGTGTACGTTCCAAAGTTATGTGAAAAACCTGTTACTGATTCACTAGGCTATCATTCTTGTATATATACCAGACATCTATCAAGAATATTCACATACACTCAAAAATATATATTTAAGTAGATTTATACCTTGGATATATATATTCTGAGTCGCCTTGGAGGGAATTGTGGTTATAATGCAGTTTTACGTTATTTAATCTGTGTGACCACTTCAAGTACGTGTCATAAACACTGAGAAACGAGGAAAATATCAATCTAACAAGGACGGCAATTAAGACTGGGGGAAGGTTTGTATATATGAGCGTCAGTCAGAGACCTTCAAGTGTTGTGGAAGGTTTATGAGAGTGAAATATAAAGGAACGTTCCATTCTGGTTTATTTTCCGACCATATCAGATTAACATTTCCAGGAATATGCTGAACATATAGACTATGCAGTGTTATAGTTACTCGTCTGGTAGTTTCATTGAACCACAGAATGGTTCACAGTCACCATGGTGCTAAGTTTTTGTTAGGACAACGTTTGGCTTTGTATAGAGCTTTATGAAGGTTTTATCATGACTTTACACACTACAATATGGTTGTGTTGTGCAACGTATCTCTCCCATTATCGTATGTACAACATTGTGATTCAAGAATGTTTACAGAAGCCTACAAGAGTGCGTCCATTTGTTAACATAAATTGTGCTGCACACACACACATACCATCCAGACAACACCAGTAACAATAATCAGAAATTCTTCATAGATTTCGGGTAAAGTATCGTTCTTCAGAAATAAGACGATGGTTGTATTTTTAAGAGAAATTTAGAATGTGTGTGACTGGAACAAACGTGATTTGAGATATTTTACTTATTCCCATGATGATAGATTTCATTGTTGACATTACATTTTCCACATGTGGCGACACAACACGTTGTCAGGTTGACGGTAGTTCATGTGTCTTAGGCTCAGATCTTTCCAAAACTAAAACTGCACATAAATGTGATAATTCGGGTGACCTGGGCCAGACTCTTTAGTCGTGACAATTCAGTGCTTAGACTTATGTCATTGTATCCTTGGTGTTGTTACTGAGAACAGAACAAATTACATCGACAGTTTTTTTTCCATGTTGCATCGTAAGCCTAGCAAACTCCAACATACACACAGGTCATGTTGAGACTGAAGTTACGTATGTTCACAAAGCCTCATATATTATACAAACAGTACCATTGTGCAGGTATGAATGAGCTGGTGAACAGCTCTTCTTGGATCAAACCTTGAATAACTCCTATTCCTCCTGGACGCTGGAAAGATGTTATTGTGCAGGCGCCTGGATACTGGAAGGATTTTATTGTGCAGGCGCCTGGATATCATGGCGTGTGTAGCGTTGCTGCATCTTGGGAGCTGCACCGTCAGGCGTATATCTCATTACAACAATAATAATGTCAGCTTGAGAGAAATGAGGTAATTAACACCTAACCTAACTCCCATGACATCTTGATCTCAACAGACTTGCGTGGATGGTAGTGTGAAAGACGGTGATCCTAGTGGTGATTTTATGTAATTCTTGATATAAGCTGCTCGTAAACATCAACAATACTCATACTCCTCTACATTATCCACCATCACTCGTAGTACCAGGTTCTCACATCGCCAGTGTGAAGGAATAATAACTTTGGGAAATTAAGATAACAATGAAGCTGTGTCATTGGGTCGACTCCACCCTCGGTCAGTAAACTCGACTCCACATTTAAAAGATGGTAAACTAGCCGAGAGTTACCCCATCACTCAGGTGTAAATATTACTGTAGTGTGCCATGACTCTTAAGACACGTAATGCGGTGTACAGTATTTTATTTTAAGACATTTTATCCATCAGGGACTTTGGTAATTCTAGTGAGTACTGATAAAAGTCGTCAGCGGACAAAACCTCTCAATAAGACACCCTAAACTGCATATTGTGTCTTATTAACATATCGGTATATAATACTGTTGATGTGGTAAAAGACACTTATGTACAGTTCAGGACATTTATTACAGGAAATGTTTCTCCACTAGTGACTTCTGTCTGAAGAAGTCACTCGTGGAGAAACATTTCCTCCAATAAATGTCCTGCACTGTACATAAGTGTCTTGTTCCACATTTTTCAACACTGTTGATATACACACCATTGTTCAGTAGGTAAGCCTGAAACTGAAAAATCTGGGCGGTAAACAGGTACTCTGGGTTTTGCGGCAGGGAAATCTAGCGTAAGTTAGGACAGTGTACAATATGCCTTCCATTACAGAGCAACAAGTGTCAGTGTCGATCCGTGGATTCCTTCTCACAAGAACCTATGGTTGTATGACAAGTCTGACAAGACAGCTCGAGTGTGTGTCCTGGAGGAGGGAGTAGAATTTAACTCTAACCTGTCTACTAAATGTTTGAGGATAATGAGAGGATAAGAACTTCTAGTGAACATCATTGACTTAAGACTGAGGGAGATTGAGACCAGTGAGTCCATCTATCGTCATTCTATCATGCAGGAGGTGCGCATATCTATGGTGCATCCAAATAAGGCGACTCTTGGATGTCACTACTGCTAGGCTCCGGCTGGGTTAGCAGTATCTCTAGCTGGGTTAGCAGTATATCTGGCTGGGTTAGCAGTATCTCTGGCTGGGTTAGCAGTATCTCTGGCTGGGTTACCAGTATCTCCTGGCAGGTTAAATCACCACCACCAGATGTAGACCAAACGAAATGTAAACTTTGCCAGATGGACTATTATCACACCCTGCGTCATTATGTACTGGAGTGCGATAAAAATGAATAAACTCAAAAACACCTGACTCGAAAAATATTGAAATATCACAACATTTCATTTAATAAAATATAAAAAACCTATCGCATAAAGAGAGGTGTCTGAATACTCGGGCTCTTAATCCAAGGAAGTGAACCTATTCTATCCTTGGATCAGGTGTAATTACCTACCAACTCACATGCGTTGTATGACCCCAAAAGATTTACTTTCCAGTAATAATACAGGTGGGCTTCACTTTACGATGCTTCACTTTACGGCGTTTGCTTTACAATGCTCTGCTTTACGGCGTTTGCTTTACAATGCTTCACTTTACGGCGTTCGCTTTACAGCGTTCGCTAGTGCAGTGGTTTTCAAAGATACATATTCTTTATTTTTTTCAGATTTCCTACAATATTCACCACTCACTATAAGCTAAGGACGAAAATATTTTAAGTAATATGTGTACTGTATATGCATTTTCTTTAGACGTAGCTCTATTGCTCAGTTAATAAATGATAGTGTAAACATGTTATCAGGTTTTTATGTGCACTCGAATAGTGAAAAAAAAAGAACTGTTTCACTTTAAAGCGATTTTTAGCTTTACAGTGTCCCAGAACCTAACCTGCTGTATAAGTGGGGCCCTCCTGTAATAATAATAACTGTAGACAAATACCGCTAAATACCTCACAACGACTGTAACTTGCTTTTTGATTAGGGCAACTTTGTACAGCCTCTGCGACCATTATGTTGGTGTAACCATCAATAATCTTAATTGTAAAGGTTGTATGTAATATCCTGCAATCATTATATTCACTACTAGCTATTCATAACTCGTGTAAGCTGTTCGTTATTACTGTGACATGTTTGGTAAACTATGATGGGTTCCAGTTCTTGGAACCATTGTGTGACTGTGATTATTTGACTACCACCCACACCATGGGTGTGGGATGACTACCACCCACACCATGGGTATGCATATCTACCACCCACACCATGGGTGTGCATATCTACCACCCACACTGTGGGTGTGCATATCTACCACCCATAGGTCAGTGAATACCGGGCGTATAACAAAGCTACCATACTAATGCATATTGTATATGTACCCATATTTAGTATACACTAGCCCATATTGTGATGTATAAACCCATTCTATAAAAAATACAATATCCCTTTGCTTCAACTACTGTAATATATTATCGAACTCAGAATTGTGTGTGTATACCTTTGTACGGGTGTTGCATGGTATATATACTGGGAGGGGGATATAAATACCCAATTGGTGTGTTGAGTACATTAGTCGTGCCCTGGTGCCGTCTCCACCTAACTACAGTGGTAAACTATCTTGAATGTTAGATATATCGCTATTTAAGGAACGATAGAACTTGTGCTCATTCCAGAGTGCGAACTATCTGATGTTATGTAGAAGGTTAGTGAACATTGAATACACTCACCTCACAGTGAGTTACGTTGAGTGGAAGAACATTCTCAGTGTTATTACGATTTCTTGAGTGGTTTATACACACTGCAAAACCAAAACATTACACATTAAGTCAGTAAAGTGTAATGTTTAATATCCTATCTCTTGATACCGTGAGGTCTGGGTGAGCAGTGATGCAAGGTTGTGTCTGCCCACCATGGGCAACATTGATGTAAGGCTGTGTCTGCCCACCATGAGTAACATTGATGCAAGGTTGTGTCTGCCCACCATGGGTAACATTGATGTAAGGCTGTGTCTGCCCACCATGGGTAACATAGATGCAAGGTTGTGTCTGCCCACCATGGGCAACATTGATGTAAGGCTGTGTCTGCCCACCATGGGCAACATTGATGTAAGGCTGTGTCTGCCCACCATGGGTAACATAGATGCAAGGTTGTGTCTGCCCACCATGGGCAACATTGATGTAAGGCTGTGTCTGCCCACCATGGGTAACATTGATGCAAGGTTGTGTCTGCCCACCATGGGCAACTTTGATGCAAGGTTGTGTCTGCCCACCATGGGCAACATTGATGCAAGGTTGTGTCTGCTCACCATGGGCAACATTGATGTAAGGCTGTGTCTGCCCACCATGGGTAACATTGATGCAAGGTTGTGTCTGCTCACCATGGGCAACATTGATGTAAGGCTGTGTCTGCCCACCATGGGTAACATTGATGCAAGGTTGTGTCTGCCCACCATGGGCAACATTGATGTAAGGCTGTGTCTGCCCACCATGGGTAACATTGATGCAAGGTTGTGTCTGCCCACCATGGGCAACTTGATGCAAGGTTGTGTCTGCCCACCATGGGCAACATTGATGCAAGGTTGTGTCTGCTCACCATGGGCAACATTGATGTAAGGCTGTGTCTGCCCACCATGGGTAACATTGATGCAAGGTTGTGTCTGCTCACCATGGGCAACATTGATGTAAGGCTGTGTCTGCCCACCATGGGCAACATTGATGCAAGGTTGTGTCTGCCCACCATGGGCAACATTGATACAAGGTTGTGTCTGCTCACCATGGGTAACATTGATGCAAGGTTGTGCCTGCTCACCATGGGTAACATTGATGCAAGGTTGTGTCTGCTTACCATGGGCAACATTGATGTAAGGCTGTGTCTGCTTACCATGGGCAACATTGATGCAAGGTTGTGTCTGCTCACCATGGGTAACATTGATGCAAGGTTGTGTCTGCTCACCATGGGTAACATTGATGCAAGGTTGTGCCTGCTCACCATGGGTAACATTGATGCAAGGTTGTGCCTGCTCACCATGGGCAACATTGATGCAAGGTTGTGTCTGCTTACCATGGGCAACATTGATGCAAGGTTGTGCCTGCTCACCATGGGCAACATTGATGCAAGGTTGTGTCCTTGCTCACCATGGGCAACATTGATGCAAGGTTGTGTCTGCTTACCATGGGTCAACATTGATGAAGGTGTGTCCTGTCACCATGGGCAACATTGATGCAAGGTTGTGTCTGCTCACCATGGGTAACATTGATGCAAGGTTGTGCCTGCTCACCATGGGCAACATTGATGCAAGGTTGTGTCTTCTCACCATGGGCAACATTGATGCAAGGTTGTGTCTGCTCACCATGGGCAACATTGATGCAAGGTTGTGTCTGCTCACCATGGGTAACATTGATGCAAGGTTGTGCCTGCTCACCATGGGCAACATTGATGCAAGGTTGTGTCTTCTCACCATGGGTAACATTGATGCAAGGTTGTGTCTTCTCACCATGGGCAATATTGATGCAAGGTTGTGCCTGCTCACCATGGGCAACATTGAGGCTGTATGATACAGAGGATACTCACTTGCATGTTGGTGGTGCTACACAGGTACAACTTGATGCAAGGTCCTGTCACTGGTCAACATGATGAGGTGCCCTAAGTGACTGTCACAATGATCAGGGCCTACAGGTACGTTGTGCAAGTGTGTCATGCCACTGGGAATGATGCACAAGTCTCTCACCATGGGTAAATAATGATGCAAGCTTGTGACGTGTCCCCATGGCATCAGGCCTGATGAACAGTGTCACTGATCACATGCCTGTGACGTGTGCACATTGATGAGCTAGTGACGTGTCACATGATGAGGCCTAGTGACGTGTCACAATGATCAGGCTTAGTGTTGTGTACAATGATCAGGCTTAGTGTTGGTTCACAATGATAAAGGCCTAGTGACGTGTCACATGATGAGGCCTAGTGACGTGTCACAATGATCAGGCCTAGTGTCGTGTCACATTGATCAGGCCTAGTGACGTGTCACATTGATGAGGCCTAGTGACGTGTCACAATGATCAGGCTTAGTGTTGTGTCACAATGATCAGGCCTAGTGACGTGTCACATTGATGAGGCCTAGTGACGTGTCACACTGATGAGGCCTACTGACGTGTCACACTGATGAGGCCTAGTAAAGTGTCACATTGATGAGGCCTAGTGACGTGTCACATTGATGAGGCCTAGTGACGTGTCACATTTATGAGGCCTAGTGACGTGTCACATTGATCAGGCTTAGTGACGCGTCACATTGATGAGGCCTAGTGACGTGTCACATTGATGAGGCCTAGTGACGTGTCACATTGATCAGGCTTAGTGACGTGTCACATTGATGAGGCTTAGTGACGTGTCACACTGATGAGGCTTAGTGTTGGGTCACAATGATCAGGCCTAGTGACGTGTCACATTGATGAGGCCTAGTGACGTGTCACAATGATCAGGCTTAGTGACGTGTCAAAATGATCAGGCCTAGTGACGTGTCACACTGATGAGGCCTAGTGACGTGTCAAAATGATCAGGCCTAGTGACGTGTCAAAATGATCAGGCTTAGTGACGTGTCACAATGATCAGGCTTAGTATTGTGTCACAATGATCAGGCTTAGTGACGTGTCACACTGATGAGGCCTAGTGACGTGTCACAATGATCAGGCTTAGTGTTGTGTCACAATGATCAGGCTTAGTGACGTGTCACATTGATGAGGCCTAGTGACGTGTCACAATGATCAGGCCTAGTGACGTGTCAAAATGATCAGGCTTAGTGACGTGTCAAAATGATCAGGCTTAGTGACGTGTCACAATGATCAGGCTTAGTGATGTGTCACATTGATGAGGCCTAGTGACGTGTCACAATGATCAGGCTTAGTGTTGTGTCACAATGATCAGGCTTAGTGACGTGTCACAATGATCAGGCTTAGTGACGTGTCACAATGATCAGGCTTAGTGTTGTGTCACAATGATCAGACTTAGTGACGTGTCACATTGATCAGGCTTAGTGTTGTGTCACAATGATCAGGCTTAGTGGTGTGTCACATTGATCAGGCTTAGTGGTGTGTCACAATGATCAGGCTTAGTGACGTGTCACATTGATCAGGCTTAGTGTTGTGTCACAATGATCAGGCTTAGTGACGTGTCACATTGATCAGGCTTAGTGGTGTGTCACATTGATCAGGCTTAGTGGTGTGTCACATTGATCAGGCTTAGTGTTGTGTCACATTGATCAGGCTTAGTGACGTGTCACATTGATCAGGCTTAGTGGTGTGTCACATTGATCAGGCCTAGTGACGTGTCACATTGATCAGGCTTAGTGACGTGTCACATTGATCAGTGGCTCTAAGTTGTGTGTGTCACATTGATCAGGCCTAGTGACGTGTCACATTGATCAGGCTTAGTGGTGTGTCACAATGATCAGGCCTAGTGACGTGTCACATTGATCAGGTTTAGTGACGTGTCACAATGATCAGGCTTAGTGGTGTGTCACATTGATCAGGCGTAGTGACGTGTCACATTGATCAGGCTTAGTGACGTGTCACATTGATCAGGCTTAGTGGTGTGTCACATTGATCAGGCCTAGTGACGTGTCACATTGATCAGGCTTAGTGGTGTGTCACAATGATCAGGCCTAGTGACGTGTCACATTGATCAGGCCTAGTGACGTGTCACATTGATCAGGCTTAGTGACGTGTCACATTGATCAGGCTTAGTGGTGTGTCACATTGATCAGGCCTAGTGACGTGTCACATTGATCAGGCTTAGTGACGTGTCACATTGATCAGGCTTAGTGACGTGTCACAATTTGATCAGGCTAGTGACGTGTCACATTGATCAGGCTTAGTGACGTGTCACATTGATCAGGCTTAGTGGTGTTTGTGCTATGGTGTCACATTGATCATAGGGCACTAGTAGTGACGTGTCACATTGATCAGGCTTAGTGACGTGTCACATTGATCAGGCTTAGTGACGTGTCACATTGATCAGGCTTAGTGGTGTGTCACATTGATCAGGCCTAGTGACGTGTCACATTGATCAGGCCTAGTGACGTGTCACATTGATCAGGCTTAGTGACGTGTCACATTGATCAGGCTTAGTGGTGTGTCACATTGATCAGGCTTAGTGACGTGTCACATTGATCAGGCTTAGTGTTGTGTCACAATGATCAGGCTTAGTGACGTGTCACATTGATCAGCGCTTATATGTGGTGTGTCACATTGATCAGGCTAGTGACGTGTCACATTGATCAGGCTTAGTGACGTGTCACATTGATCAGCTTAGTGTGTGTCACATTGATCAGGCCTAGTGGGTGTCACATTGATCAGGTTTAGGGGTGTGTCACATTGATCAGGCTTAGTGGTGTGCACATTGATCAGGCCTAGTGACGTGTCACATTGATCAGGCTTAGTGGTAGTGTCAAAATTGATCAGGCCTTAGTGACGTGTCACATTGATCAGGCCTTAGTGACGTGTCACATTGATCAGGCTTAGTGACGTGTCACATTGATCAGGCTTAGTGGTGTCACATTGATCAGGCCTAGTGACGTGTCACATTGATCAGGCCTAGTGACGTGTCACATTGATCAGGCTTAGTGACGTGTCACAATGATCAGGCCTAGTGACGTGTCACACTGATCAGGCCTAGTGACGTGTCACATTGATCAGGCTTAGTGACGTGTCACATTGATCAGGCTTAGTGGTGTCACATTGATCAGGCCTAGTGACGTGTCACTCTGATCAGGCCTAGTGACGTGTCACAATGATCAGGCTTAGTGACGTGTCACATTGATCAGGCTTAGTGCGTGTCACATTGATCAGGCCTAGTGACGTGTCACATTGATCAGGCTTAGTGACGTGTCACATTGATCAGGCTTAGTGATGTGTCACATTGATCAGGCTTAGTGACGTGTCACATTGATCAGGCTTAGTGACGTGTCACATTGATCAGGCTTAGTGACGTGTCACATTGATCAGGCTTAGTGACGTGTCACATTGATCAGGCTTAGTGTCGTGTCACATTGATCGTATCGGTGTGTCACATTGATGCTAGTGACGTGTCACAATGATCAGGCTTAGTGACGTGTCACATTGATCAGGCTTAGTGGTGTGTCACGTTGATCAGGCCTAGTGACGTGTCACATTGATCAGGCTTAGTGACGTGTCACATTGATCAGGCTTAGTGACGTGTCACATTGATCAGGCCTATTAACATGTTACAATGCTCAAGCCTATTAACACGTCACATTGATCAAGCCATGTCACAGTGATCAAGCCTAGTAACATGTCACAGTGACCAAGCCTAGTTAAGGTACAGATAGACTATTCCTTGATCAACGATATAGATAGATAGTCTTAACTTTTTTTTATTGATATCTCTGTACTTAAATATATTAAAATGTATGGATAAGATATCTTTATCTTTCTCTAAGGAAACTACACGTACACCAGAATTATCTTCCTAAATCAAATTTTAGATGAGGGTCTATCAAAGTCCTGAAATAGAAGTTTGTTGTGACCCAAGTGTCTACTGTAGCTGTTGTTGTTGTTGTTGTTGTTGTTGTTGTTGTTGTTGTAGTCAGGGGCAACGAGTGTATATAAGGTATAATCATAGTTAACTATCGCAGTGGTTGTTAGTCATGTTCACACCTGAATGTAGTTAGATTTACTGGACTGTGGTGATAGTAGTAGTAGTAGTAGTAATAGTAGCAGTAGTAGTAGTGGTAGCAGTAGTAGTAGTAGTAGTAGTAGTGGTAGCAGTAGCAGTAGTAGTAGTAGTAGTGGTAGCAGTAGTAGTAGTAGTAGCTTTGGTAAGTCATTGGACTGTAGTAGTAGTAATATTTTATTGTAGTTATAGTAGTAGTTGTAGTGATTATAGTCAGTGGATTGTGGTAATAGTGGACTGTAGTAGTAGTCACTGGATTGCAGTAGTAGTAATAGTCATTGGATAGTAATAGAAGTAATATTCATTGGATTATGATAGTACTAATAGTGGTAGTGGTGGTGATTAGATCTATTGGATTATAGTAGTTGTTATAGTCACTGGATGGTAGTGGTAACAGTTAGTGTGGTATAGCACTGTTGTAGTGGTAACGTAGTAGTGGTGGTTATAGTCACTGATGTAGTGGTACAGTAGTAGTGTGGTATAGTCACTGATTGTAGTGGTAACAGTAGTAGTGGTGGTTATAGTCACTGGATTGTAGTGGTAACAGTAGTAGTGGTGGTTATAGTCACTGGATTGTAGTGGTAACAGTAGTAGTGGTGGCTATAGTCACTGGATGGTAGTGGTAACAGTAGTAGTGGTGGTTATAGTCACTGGATGGTAGTGGTAACAGTAGTAGTGGTGGTTATAGTCACTGAGTCACTACACTACATGGTTAAGTAGTTATATTCGTCTCTATAATAATGTTCGGGTCATCTGGATATGTCACAGTCTTGGACAGTTACTGTTGTGGTTATCGTATTCCTGGTGCGGTACTGTAGAGGTTGTCGTCGTCATCCTGGGTAGCTAGCTGCCCTGGAGGTTGACTGAGGTGCTGCTGCTGCTGGAGGTTGTCTAATACTCCTGCCCCTCCTCCTCCTCGCCCTCACCCTCAGCAGAGTCGAGTCCCACTTCCTCGTAGTCCTTCTCGAGGGCTGCCAAGTCTTCACGGGCCTCTGAGAACTCACCTTCTTCCATTCCTTCTCCAACGTACCTACAACCATTAATGGAACTGAATACCTTGTGTCAAGACTAGGGACTGACCCTCTTATATTAAGACTAGGGACTGACCCTCTTATATCAAGACTAGGGACTGACCCTCTTATATCAAGACTAGGGACTGACCCTCTTATATCAAGACTAGGGACTGACCCTCTTATATCAAGACTAGGGACTGACCCTCTTATATCAAGACTAGGGACTGACCCTCTTATATCAAGACTAGGGACTGACCCTCTTATATCAAGACTAGGGACTGACCCTCTTATATCAAGACTAGGGACTGACCCTCTTATATCAAGACTAGGGACTGACCCTCTTATATCAAGACTAGGGACTGACCCTCTTATATCAAGACTAGGGACTGACCCTCTTATATCAAGACTAGGGACTGACCCTCTTATATCAAGACTAGGGACTGACCCTCTTATATCAAGACTAGGGACTGACCCTCTTATATCAAGACTAGGGACTGACCCTCTTATATCAAGACTAGGGACTGACCCTCTTATATCAAGACTAGGGACTGACCCTCTTATATCAAGACTAGGGACTGACCCTCTTATATCAAGACTAGGGACTGGCCCTCTTATATCAAGACTAGGGACTGAATACCTTCAATCTAAGGTAAGGGATTGAAAATCTTTTATGAAGACTAAGGATTTGGTAATAGCTCTACTTGTATCAAATTGGTACTAGGAGAGACCTAAATAAGACTAGGAGACAGAGCCTTAGAAGAGAGATAGGGATGACCCCTGAGATGAGCAAGACTAGGGAGTGACCTTGATAGTGATATACTAACCATACGAAGGACTGGGCCTCTAAGATCAAACTAGGGACTGCCAGCTTCAGCGATGGCTTAGTATTGAGAGCTAGGACTGCCCTCTTATACACAGACTATGGGAGCTGGCCCTTATACAAACCTAGGACATGACTCTCTCTTAATCAAGACTAGGCACATAATGAGCCTCTTATATCAGAAGTAGGGTAATACTGATTACCCTTCTTATAGTTCAAGTAAGACTGACCTCAATATCAAGATTAGGTACTGCCTCTTATTACAAGACTGGGACTACTCGGTTATATCAAGAATAGGTGTATGTACCACTTGGATATATATCAAGAATAGGCGATGTACCACTGTGTAATATTCCAGATAGGTTGTAATGTACCACTGTGGATATAATATTCAGAATGGGTAATGTACCACTGTGGATACAAACTTTTGACTGTAAATAAAACATTAATCTGAGTGAGTTGTCTTGATTTAAAAATTTTAGACGACTCAAGTAATTAATGACGCAGGGTGTGAACCTCCAGTACATAATGACGCAGGGTGTGACGCACTCCAGTACATAATGACGCAGGGTGTGACGCACTCCAGTACATAATGACGCAGGGTGTGACGCACTCCAGTACATAATGACGCAGGGTGTGACGCACTCCAGTACATAATGACGCATGGTGTGACGCACTCCAGTACATAATGACGCAGGGTGTGACGCACTCCAGTACATAATGATGCAGGGTGTGACGCACTCCAGTACATAATGATGCAGGGTGTGACGCACTCCAGTACATAATAACGCAGGGTGTGACGCACTCCAGTACATAATGACGCAGGGTGTGACGCACTCCAGTACATAATGATGCAGGGTGTGACGCACTCCAGTACATAATGATGCAGGGTGTGACGCACTCCAGTACATAATGATGCAGGGTGTGACGCACTCCAGTACATAATGACGCAGGGTGGGTGTGACGCACTCCAGTACATAATGACGCAGGATGTGACGCACTCCAATACATAATGATGCAGGGCGTGACGCACTCCAGTACGTAATGACGCAGGGTGTGACGCACTCCAGTACATAATGACGCAGGGTGTGACACACTCCAGTACATAATGACGCAGGGTGTGACGCACTCCAGTACATAATGACGCAGGGTGTGACGCACTCCAGTACATAATGACGCAGGGTGTGACGCACTCCAGTACATAATAATGCAGGGTGTGACGGACTCCAGTACATAATGACGCAGGGTGTGACGCACTCCAGTACATAAAAATGCAGGGTGTGACGGACTCCAGTACATAATAATGCAGGGTGTGACGGACTCCAGTACATAATAATGTAGGGTGTGACGGACTCCAGTACATAATGACGCAGGGTGTGACGCACTCCAGTACATAATAATGCAGGGTGTGACGGACTCCAGTACATAATAATGCAGGGTGTGATGGACTCCAGTACATAATAATGCAGGGTGTGACGGACTCCAGTACATAATAATGCAGGGTGTGATGGACTCCAGTACATAATAATGCAGGGTGTGACAGACTCCAGTACATAATAATGCAGGGTGTGACTTGCGACCCCTGAATGGGTCACAATGTATATAATGTATATTACCTGTTCATATAATTTTATATTGCTTATATTTGCGATATTAGCTAAATCGTAAATATATATTGCTTTATATTATTATTTGATTTAGTTATATTATTAGGTAGGATGTAACATTTATATATTATTCAGTGCTCATAGTTCGAGTGTTAAGTAGCTGTCGGTCTTGTCTATCACTCTGCTTGTTTTGCTGCCAGCTTCTCTGTAGTTGCTGGGCAGCAGCAGTCCATGGAGTCACGTGATCAGCGTGGGGTGATCACACCTCACCTGGGAGGAGAGACTGCCTGGCCTGTGCTCGCTCTTTTCTGTTTGACGTGGCTTCCAACAAGACGTCCCTCTCCAGCTCTCCATTGATGGCCCTTGTTGGAAGATCGTCTCTGTCGCTTTCTTGTTGTTGGTTCTGTGTAACTGTTCAGAACATAGCCTAGACTTAGTGATTTTCGACGTTGTACTGAGGTTGTGTGTCACAGACACTCTGAGCAACTCATGTCCTGAGCTGTAGCTTCTGACCTAATTTGTACTGGTATCTGTGTACTGTCACAGTCGGGGATTTTCTTATGCTGAACTTAGATTCATTAGTATGGGAGTTTTGTGACTTTTGTGGAGGATCTGCAGATGGTCCCTACTTAGTGTCGTTATATTATCTCCTTGTTCCTGATTCTGTTTCGCTGTTGCTTGTTATATTGCTATTGGGCTTAACAGTCGTTTTATTGTTCAAGCAAGCTGTTCTGATTGCCAGGTTGGTCAAGAAGTTAGTTTATGTGAGGACTTTTAGTCAGTCACTGGTTAAGTCTAGTCGAGTCTTGAGACATAGCGAACAACTTAGAGCACTTACACACATACACACAAACTTACTTGTATATATTAATATTATGTTATTAAATGCTAACAATGTACTAGACGGTACTTAAAAACCATAAAGATGTGATATGTGCCTTCACAATACTACTGTACACGAGAGAAGTGTAGCAACTTGTATCCTATTATATTCTTTGAAAGCATATAACTTAGCCTGTGCGTCAGTTCTATCATGCATCTGAAGACCGATGTGAGATGGAACCCACAGCAGGTGGACTCTGACTCCACTGTCCACAATCCTACCATACACTACAACCAGGTGAGTGAGCACACACTGGGACAAGTGGTTGGTGAACCTTGAACTGGGACAGTTGATAGGTGAACCTAGCAATGGGACAGATGGTAGATGAACCTAGAACCGGGACAGGTGGTGGTAGGTGAATCTAGAAATGGGGCAGGTGGCAGATGAATCTGGAACTGGGTTATGGAGGGTAGGGGATATGGGCAGATACCCACCTTGAAGCCAGTAGGGCACCAGTCTACGAACTGGATGGTTCTCTTGGTTTTAATGGCAGCAATGGCAGCGTTGACATCCTTGGGAACCACGTCGCCGCGGAAGAGAAGGCAACACGCCATGTACTTGCCGTGACGGGGGTCACACTTGACCATCTGTAACATAACGCAGCTGGTGAGACGTAGGGGGTCAATCTTAACCATCTGTAACAACACAGCTGGTAACACATGGGTCACAATCAATCGTCTTTAACATAACTTGAGTACTGAGACAGCAAGGCACCAGCATCAGGCTGGTGAAAGCACCAGCATCAAGGGCCTCGGAACCTTGATGCCGCTAAAGGGGTCGTGATCAAAGCGGATCACTCCTGCACCCTTTACGCTGCCCATACGGGCTTAGCTCTTCTCTGTGATAATAACCTTTTTTTTTATCAGAAAGCTGGCTTGAAAAGGTATTAGTAACACAGGGGTCACTGGTGGTTACGAGGCGGGGCCCAGGAGCTAGTATTGTCGTCACAGTTGATGTTAACAAACGTGGAGTCTTCTGGCTGGTGGAAATAAGGCAATTTATTGTCAGTGTAAACAGTCAGGTGTTATCTGTCAGCTAGTGTAAACAGACACTGTCAGCCAGTGTAAACAAAGACACTGTCAGCTAGTGTAAACAAAGACACTGTCAGCTAGTGTAAACAAAGACACTGTCAGCTAGTTTAAACAGACACTGTCAGCTAGTGTAAACAAAGACACTGTCAGCTAGTGTAAACAAAGACACTGTCAGCTAGTGTAAACAAAGACACTGTCAGCTAGTTTAAACAGACACTGTCAGCTAGTGTAAACAAAGACACTGTCAGCTAGTGTAAACAAAGACACTGTCAGCTAGTGTAAACAAAGTCACTGTCAGCTAGTGTAAACAAAGTCACTGTCAGCTAGTGTAAACAAAGACACTGTCAGCTAGTGTAAACAAAGTCACTGTCAGCTAGTGTAAACAAAGACACTGTCAGCTAGTGTAAACAAAGTCACTGTCAGCTAGTGTAAACAAAGTCACTGTCAGCTAGTGTAAACAAAGACACTGTCAGCTAGTGTAAACAAAGTCACTGTCAGCTAGTGTAAACAAAGACACTGTCAGCTAGTGTAAACAAAGTCACTGTCAGCTAGTGTAAACAAAGTCACTGTCAGCTAGTGTAAACAAAGACACTGTCAGCTAGTGTAAACAAAGTCACTGTCAGCTAGTGTAAACAAAGACACTGTCAGCTAGTGTAAACAAAGTCACTGTCAGCTAGTGTAAACAAAGACACTGTCAGCTAGTGTAAACAAAGACACTGTCAGCTAGTGTAAACAAAGACACTGTCAGCTAGTGTAAACAAAGACACTGTCAGCTAGTGTAAACAAAGACACTGTCAGCTAGTGTAAACAAAGACACTGTCAGCTAGTGTAAACAAAGTCACTGTCAACTAGTGTAAACAAAGTCACTGTCAGCTAGTTTAAACAGACACTGTCAGCTAGTGTAAACAAAGACACTGTCAGCTAGTGTAAACAAAGACACTGTCAGCTAGTGTAAACAAAGTCACTGTCAGCTAGTTTAAACAGACACTGTCAGCTAGTGTAAACAAAGACACTGTCAGCTAGTTTAAACAGACACTGTCAGCTAGTGTAAACAGACACTGTCAGCTAGTGTAAACAGACACTGTCAGCTAGTTTAAACAGACACTGTCAGCTAGTGTAAACAAAGACACTGTCAGCTAGTATAAACAGACACTGTCAGCTAGTGTAAACAAAGACACTGTCAGCTAGTGTAAACAAAGACACTGTCAGCTAGTGTAAACAAAGTCACTGTCAGCTAGTGTAAACAAAGTCACTGTCAGCTAGTATAAACAGACACTGTCAGCTAGTGTAAACAAAGACACTGTCAGCTAGTATAAACAGACACTGTCAGCTAGTGTAAACAAAGACACTGTCAGCTAGTTTAAACAGACACTGTCAGCTAGTGTAAACAAAGACACTGTCAGCTAGTTTAAACAGACACTGTCAGCTAGTGTAAACAAAGTCACTGTCAGCTAATGTAAACAAAGGCATTGTCAGTTAGTTTAAGGGCAGTGTCTTGTGTCAGCTGGTGCTGGAGACTGTCAGCTGGTGCTGGAGACTGTCAGCTGGTGCTGGAGACTGTCAGGTGGTGTGACCAGGTGCTGCACCTGTCTCACTCATCTACGTGTTGATACTCTATACCATTATGATGTCAGTACCTGGTTGATAGGTTGAGAGATGTCAGTATCTGCTTTACAGGTTAGATGTCAGTACCTGGTTGACAGGTTGAGAGATGCCAGTACCTGGTTTACAGGTTAGATGTCAGTACCTGGTTGACAGGATGAGAGATGTCAGTACGTGGTTGACAGTTTGAGAGATGTCAGTACCTGGTTGACAGGTTGAGAGATGTCAGTACCTGGTTGACAGGTTGAGAGATGTCAGTACCTGGTTGGCAGGCTCAAAGCAAGCGTTGGTGATCTCAGCAACGGAGAGCTGCTCATGGTAAGCCTTCTCTGCAGAGATAACTGGAGCATAGGTGACGAGAGGGAAGTGAATGCGAGGGTAGGGCACCAGGTTAGTCTGGAACTCCGTCAGGTCTACGTTCAGGGCGCCATCAAATCTGTGGGATACAAGGGGCCTCACTACCAGCACATACAAATACACCATCCTGGTAAAGGAGGGCCTCACTTTACAGCGCTTCACTTCACAAGTGTTTCGCTATTGCAGCGGTTTTTTATTATACCCATTCTTCATTTATACAGACTTCCTGCAATAAATATATTCATCACTCACTATAAGCTAAGGGCGAAAATATTTTAAGGTAAGTAATGTGTTTACTGTATATTCATTTTTTAGGCCTAGTTCTATTGCTCACTTAATATATGGCAGTGCAAACACTTTATCTGGCTCTTATATGCCTTTAAAAGTTTAAAAAAACAGTAGTCCGGAACTTAACCTGCTGTATAAGCGGGGCCCTCCTGTATACTAGCCTGCTGTATAAGCGGGGCCCTCCTGCATACTAACCTGCTGTATAAGCGGGGCCCTCCTGTATACTAGCCTGCTGTATAAGCGGGGCCCTCCTGTATACTAACCTGCTGTATAAGCGGGGCCCTCCTGTATACTAGCCTGCTGTATAAGCGGGGACCTCCTGTATACTAACCTGCTGTATAAGCGGGGGCCTCCTGTATACTAACCTGTTGTATAAGCGGGGCCCTCCTGTATACTAACCTGCTGTATAAGCGGGGCCCTCCTGTATACTAACCACACCGGGAAATAGAGTACACAGGGACAGTTTATTCACTGGGACTGTTGCATGCTTGAAGACTACATGTACTCGAATGAGCCACAGAAATGCCATTACTAGAACCACAAAAACTACTCACTCAGCATACTGGACAAGGAAGGGTCTTCTGATGATGATCAAACTAAATGCAAGATATGTGGCCAGGCATATGGTCACTGTCTTGAACACTATGTGCTTAATTGTCCACTTATTGAGGAATACAGAGACAGACAGTATAATAACCTATGTGACATGTCAAAATATCTTATTAATGATGATAATATACCAGATATAATAAGCAAATTTCCTAAATTTGCTTGTAACAGATAAGCGAACTGTTGATATATTAAATCCAAATGTACACCTGTTAACTCCTTTTGAGGCCTAGTTCCTAGTCCTATTGTGTATCCATATGCTCTTGCGCTACCGTCCACAGGATGGATATATATGACCTGCACAATAAACTTGCCACTTCAGTGCCAAAATTTAAAAAATCTAATCTGTGATTAATGGACGTACTGCACATACCTATGAAGATAAAAAGATAAATACTTAATCTTAAGCGTTAAACCCATGTGGGTTATTCAGTGCAAGACGTGGTGGAGGCTTGATCCTCCGTCTACTGAGCGCGAGGCAGATGTGCTTCCTATTTGTAAAACGAATACCTATGAAGATATATATTGAAGGAGGGAATTACAAAGTGAAGGAGGGACATAATGGTGTAGGAAGGTAGATAGATACCTGAGGGAGGCGGTGATGGAGGAAACGATCTGACCAATGAGACGGTTGAGGTTAGTGTAGGTGGGACGCTCGATGTCCAGATTCCTGCGGCAGATGTCGTAGATGGCCTCGTTGTCCACCATGAAGGCGCAGTCAGAGTGTTCCAGCGTGGTGTGCGTCGTCAGGATAGAGTTGTAGGGCTCGACTACTGCTGTAGCTACCTGAAGCAGGGGCAGAAGTAGAGCTTTTACTGAAGGAACTTCACAGAGGAACATTACTGAGACACGTCACTTGTGGAACACTCTTCTCTAGTCAGTGAGTTTTTGTTGATCTACTCTACTAGCTTTTGTTTATGTTTTTATGTGAGGCGCTACACCCGTGTGGATCATTCAACACAGGCAGTTGTGGAGGCTTGATCCACCGTCAGGTAATCAGAAGGTACACACGATAACAAAGTGTACTTATCCACTTGTACTGTACTATCCTGCTTATCACTGAGAGAGTATGCAAACAACTCTTTACACATCTACAACACCCTGATACACTCACAACATCTGCCATCCATTTAACACCTAGCACTTCATTCTAACACCTGAGGGGCTGGGAGGGAAGAGGTGGGATTAGTATCTGTACCTGAGGGGCTGGGTAGATAGCAAATTCCAGCTTGCTCTTCTTGCCGTAGTCGACAGAGAGTCGTTCCATAAGGAGGGAGGTGAATCCGGAGCCAGTGCCACCTCCGAACGAGTGGAAGATGAGGAACCCTTGCAGACCTAGACAACACCACATAAACATCAATAACAATATGGGATATTTCTAGCTATTCCCCAAGGGGATACACATCAATAACATCTATGAAGATATTTCCAGATATTCTCCAAGGAAAACCTAATACTCATTTGGAAATAGAATAGTCGATGAATGGAACAGTCTACCTAATAGGGACATAGAAGCTAAAACCTTGGGTAGCTTCAAATTTATGTTAGATAAATACACGAGTAAGAGGGATTCTTACGTTCTTATAACATCTAAATATAAGATATTTCTAGATATAACTCAAAGGGAACCTGCAAGCGACTGCCTGGATTTTTTCATTCAGCTTTTCGTTATTAATTTCTCTCGTAACTCGAGAAGGCGTCATCCGATCGGCTTCAAATTGTCAAAGCTGGTTTGTGGTTACTAGGTTCATATTCTAGAAATACTTTGAATATGTGTGTGCCCTACGACCAAAGTTGTAGGGTCTATTCCAACATTCCTGGAATAAATAATTTCCAAATTCCTCTGCTGCTTATTTGTGAACTTTAAGACTACCAGTACACTGCTATGTGGACCACAACATAACCAGTACACTGCTATGTGGACCACAACATAACCAGTACACTGCTATGTGGACCACAACATAACCAGTACACTGCTATGTGGACCACAACATAACCAGTACACTGGTGCGTGGACCACAACATAACCAGTACACTTGTGCGTGGACCACAACATAACCAGTACACTGGTGCGTGGACCACAGCATAACCAGTACACTGGTGCGTGGACCACAACATAACCAGTACACTGGTGCGTGGACCACAACATAACCAGTACACTGGTGCGTGGACCACAACATAACCAGTACACTGGTGCGTGGACCACAACATAACCAGTACACTGGTGCGTGGACCACAGCATAACCAGTACACTGGCGCGTGGACCACAACATAACCAGTACACTGGTGCGTGGACCACAACAAGACCTACCTACACTTGTCTATGGTCTAATAGTCACAGCTGAACAACGGTCTGCGGACCACAAGACTCACCTGTACACTGGTCAGCCAGCTTGCGAACCTTCTCCAGGACCACATCAACAATCTCTTTGCCGATGGTGTAGTGACCACGAGCGTAGTTGTTAGCAGCATCCTCCTTACCAGTGATAAGCTGCTCTGGGTGGAACAATGCACGGTACGTGCCCGTACGAACCTCATCTATGGGGTGAGGAGAAACACGGTACATTTGTGGGTATTAAGCCTACTTCATTTAATGTATTAATCAGTGGTCTTCCACCTTCCAAACTGAACCTTCTGCCATACTTGTTGATCTCAGGCTTGTGGAAACTACGAGCACACAGTATAATTGTAACTGACTATTTCCTCATTACTAAGACCTGGATGTAGCATGCTGGTGTATGAAGGTAGGCGCAGATATATACAAATTATTAAGAATGAGGTCACAATTAATCTTTGGTAGATTCAGTTTCAGATAGGTCTCCAGGACCATGGCAAAGTTGATGAATCGACTAAAACAAACATTCAATAAGAGAATGTTGAAAATAGCTTAGGTTAAAAAAAATAATTGCGTAACATTATCAGAAAGGAACTAGCAAACAAGATCTGAAGAAACTAGAACAGTACAGACAGGAACTAGCAAACAAGATCTGAAGAAACTAGAACAGTACAGACAGGAACTAGCAAACAAGATCTGAAGAAACTAGAACAGTACAGACAGGAACTAGCAAACAAGATCTGAAGAAACTAGAACAGTACAGACAGGAACTAGCAAACAAGATCTGAAGAAACTAGAACAGTATAGATAGGAACTAGTAAATAAGATCTGAAGAAACTAGAACAGTACAGACAGGAACTAGCAAACAAGATCTGAAGAAACTAGAACAGTACAGACAGGAACTAGCAAACAAGATCTGAAGAAACTAGAACAGTACAGACAGGAACTAGTAAATAAGATCTGAAGAAACTAGAACAGTACAGATAGGAACTAGCAGATTTGTTAACCATCATAAAATGCATCAAGTATATATGGAGGCAGTAACACTGTCAGTAGACTGCAAGATGTTGTTACGGCTACACTAAGATTGAGTTATAAGAGAGGGACAGTCAGACACTTGTGTGTGGACAGTGTCATACACTGATGTGCGGGGAGACGTGTCATACACTGGTATGCGAAGTGTCATACACTGGTGTGTGGAGAGTGTCAGACACTGGTGTGTGGACAGTGTCATACACTGATGTGCGGAGAGACGTGTCATACACTGGTATGCGAAGTGTCATACACTGGTGTGTGGAGAGTGTCATACACTGGTGTGTGGACAGTGTCATACACTGATGTGCGGAGAGACGTGTCATACACTGGTATGCGAAGTGTCATACACTGGTGTGTGGAGAGTGTCATACACTGGTGTGTGGACAGTGTCATACACTGGTGTGTGGACAGTGTCATACACTGGTGTGTGGACAGTGTCATGCACTGATGTGCGGAGAGACGTGTCATACACTGGTATGCGAAGTGTCATACACTGGTGTGTGGAGAGTGTCATACACTGGTGTGTGGAGAGTGTCATACACTGGTGTGTGGACAGTGTCATACACTGGTGTGTGGACAGTGTCATACACTGTTGAGTGGAGAGTGTCATACACTGGTGTGTGGAGAGTGTCATACTCTGGTGTGTGGACATTGTCATACACTGGTGTGTGGACAGTGTCATACACTGGTGTGTGGACAGTGTCATACACTGGTGTGTGGACAGTGTCATACACTGGTGTGTGGACAGTGTCATACACTGGTGTGTGGACAGTGTCATACACTGGAGTGTGGACAGTGTCATGCACTGGTGTGTGGACAGTGTCATACACTGGTGTGTGGACAGTGTCATACACTGGTGTGTGGACAATGTCATACACTGGTGTGTGGACAGTGTCATACATTGGTGTGTGGACAGTGTCATACACTGGTGTGTGGACAGCGTTATACACTGTCTGTGGACAGTGTCATACACTGGTGTGTGAACAGAGACAGTGATACTGACCTATGACAGAGGGATACTGACCTATGACAGATACTGACCTATGACAGAGGAATACTGACCTATGACAGATACTGACCTATGACAGATATTGACCTATGACGGAGGGATACTGACCTATGACAGATACTGACCTATGACAGATACTGACCTATGACAGAGGGATACTGACCTATGACAGAGGGATACTGACCTATGACAGATACTGACCTATGACAGAGGGATACTGACCTATGACAGAGGAATACTGACCTATGACAGAGGGATACTGACCTATGACAGAGGGATACTGACCTATGACAGAGGGATACTGACCTATGACAGGAATACTGAATGACAGAGATACTGGCCTATGACAGAGGGATACTGACCTATGACAGAGGGATACTGACCTATGACAAACGGATACTGACCTATGACAGAGGGTTCCAGGTCGACAAAGACTGCCCTGGGGACGTGCTTGCCTGAGCCTGTTTCACTAAAGAAAGTATTGAAGGAGTCATCACCGCCTCCCACAGTCTTGTCAGAGGGCATCTGACCATCAGGCTGGATGCCATGTTCCAGGCAGTACAGTTCCCAGCAGGCGTTGCCGATCTGTACACCAGCCTGGCCCACATGTACACTGATGCACTCTCTCTGTGAGGGGTAAACATACATAGTATTAGCTATGTACACCAGCCTGGCTCACGTGTACACTAATGTACACTGTGAGTTTACCTGGAGTTTATCTGGAAAGAGTTCCGGGGATCAACGCCCCCGCGGCCCGGTCTGTGACCAGGCCTCATGGTGGATCAGAGCCTGATCAATCAGGCTGTTACTGCTGACTGCACGCAATCCAACGTACGAGCCACAGCCCGGCTGGTCAGGTACCGACTTTAAGCGCTTGTCCAGTGCCTGCTTGAAGACAGGGGTCTATTGGTAATCCCCCTTATGTATGCTGGGAGGCAGTTGAACAGTCTCGGGCCCCTGACACTTACTGTGTTGTCTCTTAACGTGCTAGTGACACCCCTGCTTTTCATTGGGGGGGATGTTACATCGTCTGCCGAGTCTTTTGATTTCGTTGTGAGTGATGTTCGTGTGCAAGTTCGGTACTAGTCCCTCTAAGATTTTCCAGGTGTATATAATCATGTATCTCTCCCGCCTGCGTTCCAGGGAGTACAAGTTCAGGAACTTCAAGCGCTCCCAGTAATTGAGGTGTTTTATCTCCGTTATGCGCGCCGTGAAGGTTCTCTGTACATTTTCTCGGTCAGCAATTTCACCTGCCTTGAAAGGTGCTGTTAGTGTGCAGCAATATTCCAGCCTAGATAGAACAAGCGATCTGAAGAGTGTCATCATGGGCTTGGCATCCCTAGTTTTGAAGGTTCTCATTATCCATCCTGTCATTTTTCTAGCAGATGCGATTGATACAATGTTATGGTCCTTGAAGATGAGATCCTCGGAAGTGATCACTTCCAGGTCTTTGACGTTGGTTTCTCGCTCTATTTTGTGGAAGGAATTTGTTTTGTACTCTGATGAAGTTTTAATTTCCTCGCGTTTACCATATCGGAGTAATTGCAATTTCTCATCGTTGAACTTCATATTGTTTTCTGCAGCCCACTGAAAGATTTGGTTGATGCCCGTGTGGAGCCTTGCAGTGTCTGCAATGGAAAACACTGCCATGCAGATTCGGGTGTCATCTGCAAAGGAAGACACGGTGCTGTGGCTGACATCCTTGTCTATGTCAGAAATGAGGATGAGGAATAGAATGGGAGCGAGTACTGTGCCTTGTGGAACAGAGCTTTTCACCGTAGCCGCCTCAGACTTTACTCTGTTGACTACTACTCTTTGTGTTCTGTTTGTGAGGAAATTATAGATCCATCTACCAACTTTTCCTGTTATTCCTTTAGCACGCATTTTGTGCGCTATTACGCCATGGTCACACTTGTCAAAGGCTTTTGAAAAGTCTGTATATATTACATTTGCATTCTTTTTGTCTTCTAGTGTATCTAGGACCTTGTCGTAGTGATCCAGTAGTTGGGACAAACAGGAGCGACCTGCTCCAAACCCATGTTGCCCTGGGTTATGTAACTGATGGGTATCTAGATGGTTGGCGATCTTGCTTCTTAGGACCCTTTCAAAGATTTTTATGATATGGGATGTTAGTGCTATCGGTCTGTAGTTCTTTGCTATTGCTTTACTGCCCCCTTTGTGGAGTGGGGCTATGTCTGTTGTTTTTAGTAACTGTGGGACGACCCCCGTGTCCATGCTTCCTCTCCATAGGATGGTAAAAGCTCGTGATAGGGGCTTCTTGCAGTTCTTGATGAACACGGAGTTCCATGAGTCTGGCTTTGTTCGAAGTCATTTGGCGTCAGGATAATATCAGATAGGTTTGTGTTTACCAAATTCTGTGGCTCTCTCATAAAAAATTCATTTAGATCTTCGACTCTCAGTCTGGTTAGCGGCTTGCTAAAAACTGAGTCATATTGGGACTTGAGTAGCTCACTCATTTCCTTGCTGTCATCTGTGTACGACCCATCTACTGGATGTTGTTCTCGACTTTGATTTGGCATAAGAAAAGAAATACTTTGGGTTTCTTTCGATTTCATTTATGGCTTTTAGTTCTTCCCGCGATTCCTGACTCCTATAAGATTCCTTTGGCTTTAGTTGGATGTTTGCTATTTCTCTGACCAGTGTCTCCCTACGCATTTCAGATATATTGGCCTCTTTTAACCGCTCTGTTATTCTTTTCCGTCGCCTGTAAAGGGAGCGCCTGTCTCTTTCTATTTTGCATCTACTCCTCCTTTTTCTTAAAGGAATAAGCCTTGATCATACATCGAGTGCCACCGAGTTAATCTGTTCTAGGCATAAGTTTGGGGTCTGTGTTGCTTAGTCTATCTTCCCAGCTTATATCGTTTAGGACTTGGTTTACTTGGTCCCACTTTATGTTCTTGTTATTGAAGTTGAATTTGGTGAAGGCTCCCTCGTGACTAATCTCATTATGTCGGTCTGGGGCTCCGCGCATACATGTCTGAACCTCGATTATGTTGTGATTTGAGTATAGTGTTTTTGATATGGTGACATTTAGTATCAGATCATCATTATTAGTGAAGATGAGGTCGAGTGTATTCTCCAGTCTAGTAGGCTCTATTATTTGCTGGTTTAAGTTGAATTTTGTGCAGAGATTTAAAAGCTCGTGTGTGTGTGTGAGTTCTCGTCAGAGCTGCCTCCTGGTGTTATCACTGCAACAACATTATTTGCTATATTCCTCCATTTTAGGTGCCTCAAGTTGAAATCCCCTAGGAGCAAGATGTTGGGGGCAGGAGATGGAAGATTTTCCAGACAGTGGTCAATTTTCAACAGCTGTTCCTGGAATTGCTGGGACGTTGCATCCGGAGGCTTGTAGACTACCACAATGACTAGGTTTTGATTCTCGATCTTTACTGCTAAAACTTCCACTACGTCATTTGAAGCATTAAGCAGTTCTGTGCAAACAAGTGACTCTGCGATATACAGGCCAACCCCCCTCCCTTTTGCCTGTTCACTCTGTCGCATCTGTATAGGTTGTAACCTGGGATCCATATTTCGTTGTCCAAGTGATCCTTTATGTGGGTCTCTGTGAAAGCCGCGAACATTGCATCTGCCTCTGCAAGCAGTCCACGGATGAAAGGTATTTTGTTGTTCGTTGCTGGCTTTAGACCTTGTATATTTGCAAAGAAGAATGTCATCGGACTGGTGGTATTGGTGGTACTGGGGGGGATTTTTTTTCCGGCACTAATATCTGTATCTGTTGGTTTGGAGTGGAGGCCATCGACTGTGGTTCCACTCCAGAAATGACTGTAGGGGTAAATACGCATAGAATTAGCTACTGTACATCAGCCTGGCCCACTTGTACAGTGACGCACATTGTGAAGGAGAACACACATAGTATTAGCTACTGTACACCAGCCTGACTCACATGTACACTTTTGTACACTGTGAAGGAGAACACACATAATATTAGCTACTGTACACCAGCCTGACTCACGTGTACACTGATGTACACAGTGAAGGAGAACACACATAGTATTAGTTACTGTGCACCAGCTTGGTTTACGTGTACACTGATGTACACTGTGAAGGAGAACACACATAGTTACTGTGCACCAGCCTGGTTCACGTGTACACTGATGTACACTGTGAAGGAGAACACACATAGTATTAGTTACTGTGCACCAGCCTGGTTCACGTGTACACTGATGTACACTGTGAAGGAGAACACACATAGTATTAGTTACTGTGCACCAGCCTGGTTCACGTGTACACTGATGTACACTGCGAAGGAGAACACACATAGTATTAGCTACTGTACACCAGCGTGGTTCACGTGTACACTGATGTACACTGCGAAGGAGAACACACATAGTATTAGTTACTGTACACCAGCCTGGTTCACGTGTACACTGATGTACACTGTGAAGGAGAACACACATAGTATTAGCTACTGTACACCAGCCTGGTTCACGTGTACACTGATGTACACTGCGAAGGAGAACACACATAGTATTAGTTACTGTACACCAGCCTGACTCACGTGTACACTGATGTACACTGTGAGGGTAAACTTACACACAAAGTATTACCTAAAACATCACTGTCAAATATAGAAATTCAGTAATAATTATGTAACCAAAAACGACTCCTTCCTCTCCCCCCCCCCCCGAGAAAAGGCGACTGGAAAAGATAATAATACACAGATTAAATTTCTGTGAGACTCGAACGCCACATTGACAGTTGTCAACACAGCAGCAGTGAGGGCGGAGATGTACTGTTATATTCCCTCGTTTACTCCTGTATTATGGCGAGAACTGTACAGCTCAGGAACCATGTTCTTGTTCTGTGTGACGAGGTGCGTCACCTAGAACAGTGTGACGGGGGCAGTAATCGCCAGGATTTACGAATATAAGGATTATGTTAGAGATTTCCCGAGAGCAGCTCCTCCCCCGAGAGCAGCTCCTCCCCCGAGAGCAGCTCCTCCCCCGAGAGCAGCTCCTCCCCCGAGAGCAGCTCCTCCCCCGAGAGCAGCTCCTCCCCCTCTCTGTATCACGTATTGAGTTCAATTATTATTATTATTGTTGTTTTATAAGTTATATTTTTACTACTTTTATGATTATTATTGTTATAACTATTATATTATAAATATTGTTGCTGTTATCATTATTTCTTTTATTATTAGTAGTATATAAGAATTACTGCTATCGTTATTACTTATTATTATTATTTTATAAGTATTGATATTGTCGTTATCACTTATTATTATTATTTTATAAGTACTGATATTGTCGTTATCACTTATTATTATTTTATAAGTATTGATATTATCGTTATTATTTTATAAGTATTGATATTATCGTTATTATTATTTTATAAGTATTGATATTATCGTTATTATTTTATAAGTATTGATATTATCGTTATTATTATTTTATAAGTATTGATATTATCGTTATTATTATTTTATAAGTATTGATATTATCGTTATTATTATTTTATAAGTATTGATATTATCGTTATTATTATTTTATAAGTATTGATATTATCGTTATTATTATTTTATAAGTATTGATATTATCGTTATTATTATTTTATAAGTATTGATATTATCGTTATTATTATTTTAT